CTTATTATGCAGGGCAAAATCCGAGAAAAGCGAAATGTGGGAAGACGAAAAATATCCTGGCTTAAGAACTTAAGGGAATGGTTTGAATGCAGTAGTGCAGACCTTTTTAGAGCGGCAGTCAACAGAGTCGGCATAGCCATGATGATTTCCAACCTTCGATAGAAGATGGAACTTAAAAAAGAAGAAGTGAAACGGATTGCCTCTTCTAACTCAGTCATTCTTTTTAACCTGTAATAGGTGAAGTTCTACCTAGTTTCCACGTCTTGGATTGACCGTTTGGGAACTTTGTTATGTTGTAATTAATACTTTAAAAGCTTTTCTGAAGATAAGGTACTTTTTTTTAAAGATTTTGCAGAATTGTCGAAAAAAGGACTTTTTATTTTATCTATTATCAAATCAGTTTTGACATAACATTCCTGAAGTAATGAATCTAACAGTTTTTCTTGTTGGCGGTTTATATCCAGGAATCCACCCTGCAAACTTTTTAAAAGCTGGTTCTTCACCTATAGAAAACGGATGAAACGAGTCTTTGCATAAGTTTAGTAAATCAATAAGTTTAGTCAAGAAAAAGAAACTGATAAAGACGACTTAAGTCCATTGTGTATTTTTGATGAATTAATTGGACATGACTCATCTAAACATACAACTGTATCGAGAGATATACAAGAAGTCGACATGTATTTGTCTGATAATATATTACCCACAATAAATTTCGAACGGAGATTGGAACTGTCCATTACCGTGGTGGAAAAACCATCGCCATGTATATCCTAACTTAGCCACCATATTCATAAAATATTGTAGAATTGTAACAAAATCTTTTCCTTGTGAACACATGTTTAAAATCTGGTTTAATTTTAAATAAAAGAAGAACACGGTTACCAAGAAAAGTAGAAAAACTTGTTTTTAAATGTCAATTTAGACGATTCGCGATTTAATAATAACGTGTAATGTAAATGTAAGTACGATTTAATGTAAATGTAAGTACTATTTGTATTGTTTAATTTATTTTTCAAGTTATAATAAATATATCCTTAGTTAGGTTCTTTCACTTCAATACTTATACACATAAACGATAATAGCCAATATGTTTTGTGTACTCGCTAATTTGAATCAACTAGTTACACTTTACGAAAAACGGTTCCGATAAAAATTTAAAAAACGGGAGGACCCACCTCTAGTTTTTTAGGTATATTAGGATCGGAACCAGAGAATATGTAAAATATCTCTGATCGGAACTATTCGTCTCACTAATGGCCAATAGGTGTTAAAAATATTTGAGGAGGGGAGACCAAGGGGAAATATGATTGTTATCTTTGTCTATTCGCTGAAAATGTGATTTTATATCTGCGTTAGATATCCTGTTAAATTTTACCATACCGACCATAAAATTTTTCCTACACTGTATATATATATATTGGTTGTATCAATAAGTATTGATACAACCACTTCCATACAAGAATATAATATGTAGCAATCATATACAACTTTCATTCTTACAGAAGAATATTTCAAAAATAATTAAATGAAAATATTTTTGACCTATCAGCCACTTATACCTTCGTAGATAAAAAATCGCAAATAAATTGCCCTCTCGCCACATCGGAGTTACTGATATCCCGATAAAACCTTTTCATTGAAACGATATAATAAATTTTCATACAAAATTAATTTGGTATTCAATTTTTCGTTTTCACTGCATTATTTTCTATGATTGAATTTTATTATGAAGTTGCAAATGAGCGAAATTGTTTGAATTTTAAATCAACACGCGGTTTAAATAAAAAAAATTCGGGAATTATTGAACCAGAATAATTCATCACACAATAGATTAATTTTACACAATAACATATAACAGTGGGAATTTTTTTTATGTATCGTAGATTATTTGGCGGAAATTGAGTTAGCTGTTTAAAAATGATAAAAGAAAAATTTTTTTTAATTCAATTAATAACAAGATACCAATAAAGTTTGATTTTAAATTGAGAATTTAGTTTCTAATTTTAAATTCATGAAAATAAATCGTGAAAAAACAAAAACAAAATTCCAATATTTAAATCATAAAAAACCAAACTGAGAGAAACTAACAAAATAAATTTAAGCGATAATGGTTCAGAAATTTCTATCAGATTTACGCTTTTAAAATAATTTGAGGAAACTTCGAAAATATTTATCTCGTTTAGTAAAATTATATTCAAACTATTTAACGGAAATCTCAGTTCTTTAACAGTTGAAAAATTGAAAATGAGACTTTTGAAAAAGCGGCGTAATTTTAATACCTCATGATAGATGAGAAGCATACATGATAATACAGTAGTTCATTATAAAGGGGTTCTTGTAGCTGAATTCAAACCTCTATATAACGAATTTCTAATCACTTAACCTGACTTTAACAAACAATGATTTACAGAATAACTGTAGATCTGTGTCTTAACTTAGAAAGTACGCTACCAAAAACAGTGGAAAAAACCTAAATATTTTTGAGAATAACGTAATTTAATTGACAAAGTTAAATTCGTGTTGAAAATGTAATATAAAACTAAACAAATACAAAACTACTTTTACTACGTCCATCTATGTCCATCATTATTGAGTACCCTGATTACCACTGAAAAAGTCAGTAATGTTTGATTGTTTACCTTATTGTGTTAGGTTATCCATTTCACAATCCAGCACAGTGATAGGTTTAACAACATCATCATTTAAAGCATTTTTTTTTTAGAAAATAACACTTTAACACATTGAGGGCATCTCTTGCGTCCTTTGATGTAAAATCTGGTTGACAAACGAGTTCTTCATCCACGTCGTCTTCTGCTTCTTCTACCGTTTCTTGCTCCCCTGTCACGGAAGATACGATTTCAGCATCAGGGAGCTCTCCACAGATTACAACATCATCAACCAAGTTGACAAACTCTTCAAAATCCAAGTCCACGTTTAAAGCCTCCCTCACTCTCGTCTAACATCCTTCAATTGGTTCTGGTTGTTGAACTTCTGGATTGTCCTCATCTTGGCTTTGGTCACGATCATTCACTTGTAAGCCGCTTTTCTTGAAACAGTTGACAATAGTTTTATCATTAACACTGTTCCATGCCTTTGTAAACATCCACATAGCATCTAACACACTAATTTTGGTTGGATATTGGTATTCCAAGTCGTTAAAGAATTGACGGACTTCTGTACTTGGTTTTGAAATTTTGTATTATTCCTTGATTAAACGGTTGGAGTTTAGGCGTTGTGTTTGAAGGCATGAACTGAACTTTAATGTTTGTTAGCACCGGAATATCTCCATGTGCAGTGCAATTGTCGATAAATAAAAGAATGTGTTCTTTCCTTTTTGCTGATCTTTGCTGTTTTGGCCCCCTTTGCAAGGGTCTCCTTTCAACACTAACGTTTTGTCCGGTAAGCACTTAAAAAAAGCCCTGTCTCATCAACATTGTAGATAATATCTGCATTGTATCCATGGGTCAAGTCTGGCAATTTAGTTTTCCAATCTTCGCAAGTTACATCATCCACGGCAGCACTTTCACCACAAACTTTTTGGTAACTAGTTTCGTGTCTCTTTTTGAACCGATCCAACAAGCCATTACTGGCTCGAATATCTGCATGCACTAATTGTTCTGCAAACTGTTGATCCTTTTATTGGAGTATGGGACCTCCAACGGGTACATTTTTATCACGGCACTGTTTAAACCACTTAATAAGAGCTTTTTCAACATCCTGTAGCTCACCTTTCTTAGCCTTTTTGCAAATTTTGGACAGTACACCGTCAACTCCGTACTTTTCTTTATTTTTTATTATTGTAGTTAATGTGAAGGGAGTGGTGTCAAAGTTGTATGCACTAGGCTTGTATGCGGTTTAGAGCTCTTTGTAGGTGACTTGTAGCTAGGTCACAATCTGTACTACACGCTGCCATTACAGTGTCATCTGCGTATAACTCAATAACGCTCTGGGATCGGTTGGAGTCTCGTCTGTGTAGATGGTGTACAGATAAGGCGACAGCACAGCTCCCTGCGGCACTCCAGCATTCATGATTCTGACGTCGGACAGGGTTGAGCTGTTCGTACTCGGAACCACCTGTTGACTAGGTACGATGCAAGAAAACATGTCATCACCTCACTGTATCCATGTTCATTCAAGTAATCTTAAACCGCTACATTTTGGTTGAGAAAAGGATGAAAACGGATTAGAACCGAATTTTTCATAAACTTAAATATTTATTTATTACAATAAAAATAAAAATAATCGAAAAACACCGTTTTTGCATCTCAAAAGCATTATGCACGTATAAAAAAATTATAACCAACAATTTGGAGTTATACGGACTTGAAGGATATTTCAGATATTGCTTCATAACACTATGCTGGTTTCAAAAAATCTCTAATTAATTCTCAAAACCATTTTTGTCTCTACAGCTTGGACTGTGCTATCTTGATTATCATTGGAGAAGTTTTCCATGACCACAATCTTTTGGGGAGATAGTTACACTTTTTTTTAATTTGGTAGTCAGGAGTAGTTCTGGTAGACGAAGTTCACTTAGCAACCTGTATCACGTCAGATCTCTTTTTGAGAACTAGTTGTACATTTTGCACTGTAAGACGACCTTGTTTTGTTTCTGATTTTCTTCCTTTGAGCTCCAGATAAGCATTGCCGAAGTACCTCATAGCCGTTGGTGTTGTAGAGTTCTAAAGTTATTTTTATGTCAGTTCTGTTGCTTTCAGTACCTCTTCTGTGACAACTCTTTTTAGACATGCAACTGCTATGCAGCTTTGAACATGTAGAATACGCCTTTACATTACGGATTTATGTTCTCTGGGCCTCCTGAAAGTTTTCCTGATGCTTTTTAATAACAAATTTGTCTTAAACTAATTGTCAATTTTACATATATATATATATATATATATATATATATACATATATATATACGTACTGTAGGCTTACTTTTATATCTATAGCATAATCTATAATACACATTAAGCTAACTATCACATCCGTTATTTCAGAGTCGCTAACTACAGTCGTCTGCTTCAGGGCAAAGACATTCAGTCTCCCCCTATATACGATACTACAGCTATATGGAGGTTTAATCAACATAAAAGACCAAAGAACCTGATACTAGAATTCGGGTCTTGTCCAGAAAAAAACTATCCCACTGTGCAGCTATCTTGTACAAATTATGGTAAGTTGCAGTTGCAGAAAACTACAATTTTTAATCTTTCGATTGACTTTCAATGTCAAATTAAATATTTTTTAATGAATTGATAGACATTGTTATTTATTTACTTGTGTACTTACACTTGTATTGTGACTCTTTCAGTTTGTGGCAGAGTGCGTAAAACGTACGATGCAGGAGAAAATTCTGGCAGAAGGAGAAAACAAAAACAAAAGCGAATCGTCGGTGGAGTTCCATCGAAACCAGGGGACTGGCCGTTTCTAGCAGCACTTCTTGGTGGACCAGAAGAAGTATTTTACTGCGCTGGTGTTCTAATTGCTGATCAGTGGGTACTGACAGCTTCTCATTGTGTTGGAAAGTAAGTATTCGTTTATTGTAGCAAACAATAATATGGGAGAAATTACGTTGCGCAAAGTAATTTGAAAGATATAATTAATAATTTGTATATTTAAATTTGCTTTTAGTCACTCTGACGTAAACGGATGGACAATTCAATTAGGCATTACAAGACGACATGCGCATTCTTTTTATGGGCAAAAGATGAAGGTGAAGCGGGTGGTACCGCATCCTTTATATAATGTTGGCGTTGCCCATGATAATGATATTGCCCTCTTCCAGGTAAACTATTTATAACAATTTAATCGTATAAAAAATATATCTGATCGTTTATTACAAAGAAAAGACTACAATATGATGGTTTGTAATCCTTGGCTAGAGGAGAAGGTACATACAGGAAAAAGTTTAAATTACATAATTGGCATATAGAATTCTTTTGCTCTTTTGTGCTAGTCCGTTTTTCTGCCTAGTAAGATATTTATTTCTGTAATGTCATAAAAACACACACGGTGTCATTTACGTAAGAAACGGAAAGGTGAGATAAATATGGGCTACTAGCAAAAATATTCTCATACATATTCGTCTCTTTCTGCACCAGAACAATCTGTATGTGTCCACATAAGGCACTGAATCCATTTGCACCTCGATAATCCTCACAAAATTTTCCGTCACAGAAAATTCAGTTCAGTCATTTTTGCTAACCGTTGTACTGTCGATCTCGGGACATTATAAGACAAGTTTTAGCTGCTTTTAATGTACCCATTGTTTTATCTCTCACAGCTTGAATAGCAGATTTCCTGCTATCTGGATCCCAGGACTTTCGTTGTTTTGGACTTCCAATACTTTTTCTAGGCATTCTGAAAAGAAAAAACTTTGTAGACTAAACTGATACAAATATGATAGCTCATATTTGTAGCACCACACAAATATGGGCTAGCCAATATTGCAACATAACCAGACATATTTATTCAAATATTAATAACTAAAATACAACACAAATTAAAAGAAAACGTCGAAAATATTATGAAAATATCAGCCTTTCGCTTACGATGTGTGATAAAATATTAAATTTATTCTTAGTTTTTACCGAAAAAAAAATTAAAATAAAAACATACCTAAAGAATTTCTTGAACAACGTCAACACTATCATGTGATTGTTTCAACGGTCACTGGACCTGGGTCACTGTAAGCTTTATTAGTTATTATTTTAGACTAAAGAGTGTCTAGTCAAGCTATTGACGTATAGATGGTGGTGTTTATTTCATATTAATTGCGATAGCCCATATTTGTACCTTCTCCTCTACCTATAGAGCAGGCTCTGATATATTATTGTGACTCCGAGACATAGACTGCTCTAAATTTACATAAAATTGTTAATAAATAAAGACACATAAAAACATATTTCCCCTTTTTAAGCTTTCATCCCGAGTTACCTTCCACGAGCATCTTTCTCCAGTATGTCTACCACCCGCTAACAAAGAACTTAAACCAGGAACTAAATGCACAGTGATCGGATGGGGCAAGAAGGAAGATACGGGACGTAAGTAAAAGATTATTTCCACTTATTTTGTACTAATTGGAATATATTGCAGTTTCTGAATATGAACCTGAAATCAACGAAGTTGTGGTTCCAGTCTTAAACAGGGACCTTTGTAACTCCTGGCTGGAAAATAGAGATTTAAACGTGACGGAGGGGATGATCTGTGCTGGATACAAGGAGGGTGGGAAAGATGCGTGTCAGGTAATTATTTTTTGGAATATGTAAGCTATTGCCTATATCAAAAACAACATGCTAAAATGAACTAAGACGTTCAAGGAATTTTATGATTCCATATGGTCGATTAATCTCTAAAAATAATTATATCGGAAAGTGCTACAAAATAGAGCCTTGCGTTTTTAATATCAAAGTAAAATTTATTTGTTTTTCGGTTATTTTGGCTCAGAACTCAAAACTATGCAATCTTATCAAATACTTTATACTAGATTTGTTGTACAAAATTAAACTTCCCATTGAAAAGACATCTCTTAAAGTCAAATACATAGTTTTTTTAACAAAATAAATACAAAAAACAATGTTTAATAAATCGAAAAATTTCTAATTTTTTTTTTATTTTCACTCATATTTATTGTAATCAATCTAAGATTTAGAAATTCCATTTTAAGCGTTAAGACTTTTCCTGGAGCAGATGTCCCCTCAGACCATAAGCTTCTTGTCTCAAAAATAAAATTGGGGGTAAAAAAGATAATAAAATCCAAAAGTTTTAAGGTGAATACTCAGTTACTCAAGATAAATGAAATCCGTGCTAAGACTTCAACTGGTCTTCTTCTTCTAGTTCCACGACCGTTATCGATCGTTGGATATCATGTTGGCTACCATATTTAATTGGTATCAAACAAGAAATGAAGAAATTAACGTCAGAAATGAAAAACACTGAGAATGTGAACATTATGTGGAGCAAAATCAAAGATTTTGTTATAAAAACACAGAAAGAAGCTCTACAAAAGAAAACAGAAAGCCGAAAACTTTGGATGACTCAAGAAATACTGGAAATCATGGAACAAAGAAGAAAATATAGAAACAAAAACCAAAAAAAGTACAGAGAAAAACATAAATTAATACGAAACAAAATCAAAGAGGCTAAGGAAAAGTGGATGATGGAAACATGTATCGAAGTGGAAGAATTGCAGAAAAAGCATGACCATGACTGACTTGACCATGCTAACCTTGACTGAGTCCTCGTTGTATGGGAGATTTCGTCAATGTAACTGCCTCCAATTACAGTTGTTTAATGACACGAATATCTTTGTTAGATATTCCTATGCTTTTTAGCATCTGCATTAATTGTACATGCTGTACTTTATCGAATGTCTCGTATCTTATAGCAGGTCAAGCGTAGAGAAACATTATATTACAAACAAATATACCACTAAAGACACGAAGTACTTTACATATATCTGACTAACATTTTGATATTAAACAGAAATCCTGTTTTAATTTACGTTTTTTTTTTTGATGACGTAATGATTTTTCCTCTTTTATGTGTTATAAGTTGGTTTACTTTATTTATCTTATTATTATTAATATTATTATACATAGGCGAGGGCAGAGGAACAAGTCCCTATTATGCCCAAAAACAAAGAAATTTTGTTAATAACCTACTAGTAAATAACAAAATTCCAAAAAAAATAAAATTACAATTTTTGGTTTATAAGAAAAACAATATTTTAACTATAATATAAAACGTTCAATTATGTTTTTGAACGAGTTGGTAGAGGGAGAGACAATGTTATCATTAAGGGTATTCCAGCACTCAAAAACTCTATGTGGTAGAAAGTTCTGTCTTGATCGTGTCGAAAAGTTCTTTCTTTAGTTTAAACTGATGACCTCTGAGGCGTTTATCTTGATTTATGGTAGGTAACGTATTATCCTAAAGTTTTGTAAAAATTTCACCTGGTCTGATTGAGAAGCAAAATGCATTTAACAAAGAAGGCCATGGAATTGAAATGTCATCAGTTATTGACATTTAATAAACAAAGCAGCATATTTTGGTTTGTGCTCTGCAAAATGTCTTATAAAATTGATATTCGTTGAGGTGTTTATAATATGGATGGGCGAATGTCGAAACGAGATATTGTTAATATTTATCGAGATCAAAACATAAGCAAATCGACAATTTATCGCACAATCAGAGAATGTGAAGAAGGGATCATCATCATCATCATCATCATCCAGCCGAATTTTCACATCCATTGTTGGATATAGGCCTCCTCCAAACGTCTCCAGTTCTCTCTATCTCTAGCTGCTGCAATCCAGTTTGTTTCTATCCTCCTTAGGTCGTCGGTCCATCGGGTGGGTGGTCTGCCTCGACTTCGCTTGTCGGCTCTTGGTCTCCACTCCAATAATCTCTTCGTCCATCATCCGTCTTCCATTCTAGCAACATGTCCAGCCCACCTCCACTTTTGTTTATTGATTCGCAGTATAATATCGTCTACGCCAGTTCGTCGGCGTATCTCCTCATTTCTTACGCGATCTTTCAAGGTCAGGCCCAGCATTGATCTCTCCATTCGCCTTTGTGTTACCCTCAGTTTTTCGGCAGTAGCTTTCGTTAAAGTTAAGGTCTCTGCTCCGTAGGTCAAGACTGGTAAGATGCATTGGTTAAATGCCTTCCTTTTCAGGTGAATTGGGATATTTGTTTTAAAAATGTCTCTCATCCGTCCATATGCCGCCCATCTCAACTCAACTTAGCTCGCAGGTTTGATTGTCTCTGGTTATTCTAATTTCATGACCCAAGTATGTGTATTTATCGATTAATTCTACCTTGTTGTTATTGATCTGTATCTCTTCGCTAGGAACCATATTGTCATCATTTTGGTTTTCTCGAAATTTATCTCCAGCCCAGTTTCTTGTAGTATGTCATTCAGTTCTTGGAGCATGTCTTTGATCTCTCCCAGATTATCTGACAGAAGCACGATATCGTCCGCAAAACGTAGATGGTTTAATCTTTCTCCATCGATGGATATTCCTTTCTGTTGCCATGTTGCTGTTGTGTAAAAGTGGCCGACCGCGGATTTTGAACCATATAAGAGAGGCAAAACTGATTGAAGCAGTAGTAGAACGACCAGAAACAAATCCATGTTGTTGTGTTGGAATAACATGTTCCTGAAGAAGGAATTTAGTCATCTCATCGGAAATAATGGAAATAATCTTCCATAACTTTGGCAACTACTGGCAGCAAGCTAGTCAGACGATAATTTTTGGGGTCGAATGTATTGCCTTTTTTAAAAATAGGGGTGACGGATTCTAATTTCCAACTAGGGGGTAAAGAGTTCTGGATGAAAGAAGTTTGTATAATTAACGTAAGGGTATTACAAACGTATCTGCGCACCTCTTTAAAAGTTTTGTTCTTAAACCATCTAAATCAGGTAAAGCGGCTGTGCGAAGTTTAATTAAGTGTATTTGACATGATCCACTGTAAATTCAACTTGCTGTAAGGATGCGCTGATGCGATTACAGTTAATAGTAGGTAGGTAGCCATCATTCGATTATTTAGTAAAAATTTGTGAAAATGCTAAAGAGAAAGTTTCAGAAAATTCTTTGTCAGAAGAGCATAAAGTCTGGTTGGGTTTTTGAAGTAGAGGAATGAAAACTTTAGACTTCAAGAAGGAACGTATGTATTTGTAGATTTTTTAATGTTACCACTTTCAATAACATTTGCTTCAAAATGTTTTAGAGATGTTTGTAAGTTATTTGAAAATCTGCGAAGGCTTTGGAAATCACCAAGAAGCCTGGTGTGTTTAAAATTCTGCCATAGATGTCGTTTGTGATTAATTTGTTTAATTGCTTATTAGGCTGTTAGGCTGTTTGTTCGGGCTGTTAGGCCGTTGTCTTCTGAGATTAGTTCTCGACGTTTCGCCGGCATCTTTTGGATATGTTACTGCTTCCCTTGTAAGCTGAAACTGACTACATCAAATAAACAGAAAGGTCTGTGCATGTGATACTATGTATTTGTCGCTTACATCCGTCGCACTGGAGTTTGCGGTCAGCTGTCGTTATGGGTTTCGAACAAAAAGAGGTGGATGGCATGGTCCGGTTTTTCTTGTATGTAATTAGTAGTTGGTTTTATATTAATAAATCGGGAAATTGTACTCACAGTAATTATTCGCTGTAACTGCACTTTTTACGCAAAATTTTTACAAAAAACTTTTATTCAAAAAAAAATTGTATTGAATTTTTACTCAGGTAAGAAACTGATCTAAATTTTTTTAAGGGTGACTCTGGAGGCCCGTTGCTGTGCCATGAAAATGGAGACACTGAAACATGGTTTGTTGGAGGAATCGTAAGTTGGGGTATCAAATGCGCCCACCCGCATCTTCCAGGAGTTTATGCGTACGTACCAAAATATAAAAAATGGATCGAACAACAGATAGCAAAGTATTCTGGAGATTAGTTAGAAAAGTGAAACATTGGGAAAACGACAATAAAACATTGAAACAAGATTGAATGGTACAAATTATACAAGGTAATCTATATGATTTTCTATGGCAATTTACACTTAAAGAGAAAAGCTTTGTTAACCTCGAGGTATAGCTGAATTTTCTTGTCGTCAATATATCAACGTATAGGTATAAAGTAAACCAGAGCTACGCACAATATCTAGATTGATCCTTTATAGTGATATCTTGTGACAATTCACACCTAGTGTTCGAGCGGACCGCCACATGTGATTTGAATTATACAGCTGTAACATTTACAAAATTGTGACATATTTTAAATACTGTTTTTACCGCTGCATACCCTTTAAAACTACCTTAATCCATTACTAACATTAAAGTTATTCTCATAAATTACTGTAAGTAAATAATATGGATATACTTTGTACAATTTATCAAGAATTGTACTGTTGTCTGAAAACTCATTTAAATGATTTATGGGTAATTTAATCAGATGAAGTTTTGAAAAAAAAATGCACCGAAATTGATTTTTCACGAACTTAAATCATGTCATTTTTGGCATTAACATTTAAGTTTTTAAGATGTTTTTCTTTTCTATAGCAACCGATCCCAATATCCAAATCTTGTAGCTTACAAATGAAAATCATAGGAATTTTAAATCAATAACATATTTTTCGTTTTTTATTTCTCTTCAGTTTATGTGAATCTTTGCTTGTGAGAAGAAGTTGAGCATGACAAGCAATAAAATAAATTGAAGAAATAATCATAATAAATATCATAAATAATGGTTTATTATGTAATAGGCCAATTAAGTTAGGTTTTTATTCTACATAAATGTATAGCCCTTACACTCCCGAAACAATGTAAGTTGACATATAAAGTTGTTCAGTCTATTTTTCAATTTATATGGGAACAAAGAGATACACTTTTTTTTCAGAATTTTGCTATGTCACTTTGACAGAATTTATTGATATTCACGATTGTGTTTTCCAGGAGTATATGCATGACATGCACAATTGTGTAATTGACACATTTGTGAGTATTGGGACTGTATGACTAATCACGCTAGAAAACAAAACAAAAAATAAATTACAACATTTTACAACCTTTATTAGTAATATTAAGTACACACATTGTCATTTATTACAAATGTTAATAACTAGTATATTTGTTGTGAAAGTTAAAAAAACAATTTTGATTTTTGCTCATACAGAGATAAACTTTACATTTGGTGCATGAAACTCTTGACCTACTCTTACAGGATTCCAGTCTGCAACATAAAGGATTTTTTAAATCTTCCAAGACAGGCCAGTGATTAAAACCATCATATCTTTTGTCAGTGCAAGGTAAAGGTGACGGTCTCATTTTCTTTGGACGATGGTCTTCATGTTCATCTTCTGTGTCCCCGTTTTCTGTATTTGGACTTTTCGTTCCACTAATAATAATAAATCTTTAATATCTTTTGATTTGTATCTGTTACTTCGGCAGTCGCGACGGTATTCCATCCAACTGTTAACAATAGCTAAATCAAATAGATGTAGGATTACCTTCAATGTCCATTTGCGAGAAGAAAGTTCTATAACACTCCATCATCTGATCGCAGATATCAACTCCACCCATCTTTTCGTTGTAAATTTTAATTACGTTTGGACATGGAACCTCTACACGACTAGCACTATCCTTATCCCATCGTTTGACTAATTGTGTGGGTTCTTGGCCAAAAGCCGTAGATACCATTAAAACGGATTTATTATCTTTCCATTTAGTGACACATATTTTCTGATCACTGCTAACAACCTGCTCAGAATCGCCTCTTTTCATTTGGTTATCTGTTTTAAATGTAAATCCTTTAAAACGATTGTTCATAATATTTCCTGTGCCATGTATTTGTAGCTCAGATAATTTGAGCAAGAAAGGTATCGTCGAAAAATATCTGTCAAAGAATACAAAGCTATTAACCGGTAACGTTTTCACTAGCCTAAGGATGACTGACGGTCCGAGTCCCAGTTCTTTATTTCTTAAATTGGTACTTGTTCCTTGATATATTTCAAAATCTAGGACAGTACCATCACTTTTTGATAAAACGAAATTTTTTAAACCCACAGGTCTTGATTTATTTTTTACATATTGCCGAAAAGCACATCGACCAAGAAACGGAATCATCTGTTCGTCTATTAAGAATGCAGCTTAAGATTCTCTCTTTAATTCCCGACATCGGCTTCTGACGAAATCGATCATTGGCTGAACTCTCCACAGACGATTATTTTTTTAATTTCTTCTGTTACCGTTCATACATCCACAATATGAAGATTGACTTTCAAGAGGTACAACCTATCTCTTGGAATTGCATCCGCAATTACAGGAAATTTAAAGCGACTGCTCCAATATAAATGAATTCGAGGAAATTTCAACCCATCACTGCATGGATCCCAAAAATTTTTTTTATTTCTTCAGGAGTTACTTTGGGTTTAAGTTCCCTTTGGTGTTTTTGTAAATAAAATTGTGCAGTACGTTCTGCACACAGTTGACAAAATTAGTTTCCTAAATACTTTTCAAAGTAACACCATGGTGTTAAAACTTCAGTGGGATCTGGAAGTATTGTTTCGGGTATATTTTTATTTTTAAATGGATTAGTTCTACCCCAATTTAGCATTGATGATTTTTGGAGATTTTGTACAGTATTGGGAACAGCGGAATCATTTTCGTCTCCACTTTCATTAGATTTATCACTTTCTTCAATCTCATCATCTTGTACAGACAAATTCTCCTCTTCAGACGGTACCCAATCGTCATCATAATCTCCGAGTTCAATTTCCAAATCGGAATCAATTTCATCCAGCAGTTCGCAGATTTCATCTCGATGAGCAGCCATTTTCGCCATGTCAACTTTTCTAGTTGTTCCTGAAAAAGAAACACTTGTTACCAGTTTTGTTCACTGAATCATTATTTTTTTTGCACCGCTCACTCCTAGCCGTATCAAACGTGTTGTTCTTCAAAACACGTTTGTGGATTTGTAACCTCAAATTAGTATTAAAACATTTTGTCTAAATAGATAAATGCACACAATTTGTGACGACTATACAACCATAATAAATATTTTAAAACAAATAAAAATGTGTACTTACGTCTAGAAGCCATATTACCACACTTGACAACAAGTCGTTACCATTCACTGAACACATACAGATCTCAGCAAATTTTCGGTAATCGGTAATCTCGCGCGACAATATGATAGATACGTGCACCCTCTATCGTGTCGTAGAGGAGCAACTGGTGCAAAATGATATTTTAAACCTAATATAACTTATAAATAAGACGCTTACAACTGTGAGTATATGGAGCGTAAGGGATAGACGGGTTTGACCGTTGAAATATGTATGACAACAAATTCATTATTTTGCTCATAACTTATAAACTTGTCTATTTAGGGATTTGGCCTCAACAGACAACTTTTCAGAAAAAAAGATACAAAAAATGAGATAAGCTGAATTAAAATCGGATGATAAATAAAAAAGTTATTGCAAAATAAACAACAAAAGCGCTATTTTTGAATATTGTTAATAACTTTTTTATTATTTTTAAAAATTTGTTTTAATGTACATCAACTTAATGATATTATCTTGTTTGAATTCTGTGCAAAACCAAAAATTTCTACGACCGATCCAGATAATTTAACTGAATGTATCTCAGTAATCTGGAGCTTATTTTCTTTGTTAAGGCATATTTTAAGAACCTATGGAAAAAAGTGAAAAACGAATTTTTTAGTGTTTCAAAAATTTTAATTTATTTATTTTTAAGCAAGTTACAAACTTTTTAAGATTTAAAGGTTTCAAACGACAAAATTTACGTCAAAAATAAAATGATCCCTTCTGTCTTTAACGGGTTCTGGTAAAATTTTTACGATATCGTCTTCAACTATCATATCCGTGTCTTCTATATCAGGACAAAAAGAGGTGTAACTACTAGCACATTTTCCATTCACTTTCAATCTTGTTATCAATTCTTCCAATAAAATGTTTAATATATTTTTTAAATGCGTACCTACAACAACCCAAATACCCAGCGCGATTTGGGTCTTTCCCAACTCTCCAACTGGCACTTCTTTGTCAATTATTTGCTCGTTTTCTTTAAATATTTCAATAATTACTACTTGGAGGGACATTAGAAATATTGGTTGTATGGTTTTCCACAATATTGCCGGCGGTAATAGCATCCATATTAGTATTTGCGGTTTCAGCTACAACTATTGTTTGGTCTTCTAAACTCTTTTGTTCTTTCCATCTTTTTAGACTTTCAGGGTGGTATTTTTCCTCTGGTATGACATGATGGTTAAATGGATATATACCAGCTTTTCTAAACCCGTTTTTGATAATTTCTACGCTTACGTTTTTCCATATAGTGCCTATCGTCATAGAAAACTCTTTTTTTGGAATTTTAAGGCCAGTATTATGTATATGCCAGGTTACGAGTTGTTGGTCCCAAGCGTATTTTAGAGACTTTAATACGGCTAAATCCAAAGGCTGCAGAAGGTGGCTAGTATGGGGAGGAAGGTTGATGATTGTGATATCATTCTGTCGTACTAATTCAACTGGTTCAATACTAATATGAGTACTATGACCGTCATATATCAACAATACCGGCCTATTTTTTCCTAAGGCGGGAATAAACGTCATTTTTAATAATTAAAAAATACGTCACTCTCCATCCATCCATTGGGATTGGTAGCCAGGTATCCCAAATATTTTTTTCCTTAAATATGATTAGTGATGGTGCCTTCGTTCCCGATGCAGACACTGCTGAAAGAACCATGGTGTTTTCTCATCCTGGATCAGAAGTAGTTCTGGCACTTGGTTTACCTTTAGCTCCCCCGACTTTGGTTTTTTTGGGGTCGTGAGAAATGGATGTTTCGTCCATATTCTACACGAGTTGCGGCTTGTTTTCTAATTTTAGCTGAAGTAAAGTTTTTTTGAGAATATCAAACTATTCTTGGATGATG